CCCCGGGCGCTGCAGGGTCGAATACAACGCGAGCCGGGAGAACGGCCCTTGCTGTCGCTCCTGCCTGGAAGCGTCCCGGCAGCAGCAGCAGCTTCTCCTAGAGAGCGACGGGGCAGCAAGCAGGGCCGTTCTCTCAGCCCGCGCTTTATCTGACCCTGCAGCTCCTGGGGACAGAGTCCCCGGGAACTGCAGGGTCGGATAAAGCGGAGTGTTGGATTACCACTGTACAGTAATTCGGACTCCACTGTACAGTAATTCTTCATTTACCACGTTTTCGTGATAGCATAATTTTTTTTTAAGAGAACGTTTTTTGAATTACACGACTGTCCCCGGAATAACACGATTTCTCCAGCTCGCCCATTGCCAGCGGCTGCACGGAGCTTCCCCCGCCTCCCTGCAAAGCGGCAGGCCGCTCGCTGCGCCGGATACAGTGCGGGTCCTGCCAGACCCGTCACAGGGCCATACTCCCAACCCAATCCCCCTCCCCTCTCCTCCCCTTTCCTTCCCCAGAGCCAAACACCTCCCCTCCCTGCTATAACACAGTGCCCTTTCTCCCAACCTTATGTCCCAGTCCCAATAGACACCGCCACTTGAAACGCAACCCCCACCTTTTCAATGGGAAAATTGACCCCGTATAACACGTTTTCACTTAACACAATCGTTTTCTGAAACATATCTATAGTGTTAAATGAGGAATGACTGTACTTCTACTCTTCCGGGAAAGAGGATATTTTTAAATAGCGTTCCAGTTTATAAGAGCCAGCCATTGCAATTAAGAAAGAAGAGAACAGTATCTCAACACAGAACAGCAGGGCTCACTGAATAGCTTTTTGATCAAATCTGTCAAGGTTTCAAGATTTTGTCAAGGTCTGAACCCAGCTGAGTGACACACAAGGCAGGTTGGGGGGGAGGTTCTTGGATAGCTGTAAGGCCTGTTCCTTTTCCCACAGGCGGGCAATTTATTGTATTGTACAGAGAACACACCAACGCTCCCCCTGTCCCTCCTCTCCAGGGCTCACTGAATAGCTTTTTGATCAAATCTGTCAAGGTTTCAAGATTTTGTCAAGGTCTGAACCCAGCTGAGTGACACACAAGGCAGGTTGGGGGGGAGGTTCTTGGATAGCTGTAAGGCCTGTTCCTTTTCCCACAGGCGGGCAATTTATTGTATTGTACAGAGAACACACCAACGCTCCCCCTGTCCCTCCTCTCTCTGGCTTTTAAAGCCTGCTTGCCTAAGCCAGGCCTGCCCCCTCGTGAGTCACACAGGGGAAGGTTGACCAGATGCAATCAAGAGAGCAATTAAGGAAACAAAAGGTCAGGCACTCAGTCCCTACTAACAGAGAAGCTGAAACTGAAACAACAGTCACCTGAAATCAGAATCAGAATTCAACAAACAAAATTCAAACAGTCGAGCACACTCACTCACACCAAAAGCGAGTACTCTCACTCTCACTCTCACTCTCACTCTCACCAGGTAGCCTGTTCAGCGGCGTGCTCTCTTGGGTCCCTCTTAAACTCCCCTGTCTGCAGCTCCTGTCCTGTCCATTGGCTGAGCCGCCCAGCTCTGGAGACCCCTTGCCATAGCAGGAGAAGGCCAGACCTGGAATCCCTTGCCACAGACTAAACTGTGCAGGTGGCCAGCACCAGACCTTCCCATACCCACAGGCTATGAGGCCCAGGTTAGGAGCCCCTCTGCCACAGCCCAGCTCCAAGGCCCCTTCCCACAGCCCAGGAGTCTTGGCCACAGAGTTCCTCTGCTGAGGGCTGAGCAGCCCAGCCCAGCCCAGGAACCCACCCCCGCCATGGCTGGGGG